CTACATGTTTTATTGAGGCAGAACCGTCAAACTGAGAAAATCACTCACTCACTTATGTTACACAGTATCATTACATAAACAGTGAAAGATTTAAACAAAAACAGAATATAATACAGTGCAAAGATAGTCTCAAAAGAAGAAGTTTAAAAAATATTTCTACGTTCTTGTAGTTTTTCTTTTGGCTGCTCTTCTGCAGGGCTCATCACAGTGAGCAAACTCACATAAACGATTTGGCAAATGTTTTTTGCTGGATGCCCTTCCTGATGCAACTATCTATACACACACACACACACCTATATATATATATATATATATATATATATATACACACACAGTAGTCCCTCGCTACTTCGTGGTTAATTTTTTGCGGACTCGCTCTATCGCAGTTTTTCTAAATAAGATTGTACATGACAGAAAGTTGGCTGATTGATGGATGAGCTGCACAATCGGCATGTAATTTTTATTTAAAATAAATTATTTAGCACCTCCTGCAACTCTGTGCAGCCCATGCTGCAGGATAAACTTCCCCCTGCAGCTGATCAGCTGATCTCTTTGCAGAGCGGAAAAGTGGGCATGGCCAAGAACGCTTGCAAGTGGCTGAGAGCAGTGGAGGCAAAGAGAGGGAAATCGTGACATGCTGTGCTCTTTAGGAGCGTTTAGAGTTTAGAAACATTGTTTAGAATATTGCAAGAGTGTGGGAAGTATTAAAAATACATATACAGTGTATACACTGTATAAATACATTTATATATGAACTACTGCTTGTACTACTATTCATACTTTCTGGCTTTCCACTTATCGCAGGGCTTCAGGGTACGGATCCACCGCGATATATGAGCTAATCAGACCCTAAACCCCCTGTTAAAACTGCTTGAAGCAAATGTTACTGAGGGCTGTGAAGAATGAAGTCAGTTTCTGTTGGCTGTGACCAAATAACTGGTTTGTTCACCATCAGCTATGGCTGCTCAAACAAACTCCTGTATATTTTTCCGCAAAATAAAATTGGGGATTTGACATCCTCCAACAACTGACCTGACAGCTGCCATATATGATTAAATCATGCTGTAGCTCAGATTGAATGATTCCCCGATTCCTCTGATTCCCTGAATGAAATCGGGGAATGAAGCAGCTTCTGTAAAAAGTTGCGTTTTTACAGACATTCTGCCTTCTCCACAGGAAAAGGCTGTTATGGCTTCAAATTCATAATCGCTAATACTTTGTGTGTTTTTGTGTATGACTGGTAGAACAAGCCACAGCTGATAAGTGGCAAGATTGATGGCAGCACCTCTTCCACAATTTCATCGAGCTAAGAAAGTGACAAGTAAAATACTGAAGTGCAAAATCATGCCATATATCATTTGCTCAAACCCATACAAGATGTAGTTGTAGTCGATTTAGATGATGGAAATGTGTTCTTGGATGCAGATGAGTAGCTCCTGTGATTTTTCAAACAGGCATTATGTTGGCTGCTTTCTGTCATAAACTAAAAACGGACTCAGGTTTTAGCATTCATTCAACCTTTATTTATACAGGTTAATCCCATTGAGCCTCGGGGGCTCATTTACAAGAGAGACCTGATTTTAATAAAGAATGATGACAACATCCACCATTGTTCATGCTTCATCTTATTGTTTTTATGCTATAAGTGCTCAGCGTCTTTTTAGTTAACTTTTTTCTTAATTCATATCTTAGATCTTATTACTGTTTTTCTTTTTGCATTTTATTGTTGGTTGTAACTGGGACCCTGTGTACACAATTTTGTTCCACCACATGAAGCATATGTGGTGTGAATGATAAATAAAGAAACTCGGAATTTGAACAGTGAACAACAAAGACGACAATAGACAATCATAAAGGAAGCGTACATATTATTATTTTTTAACAAGTGAAAATAAAATGGTAATTAAAAGGAAAAGTAGCACAAAAAAACAGCTAGATTATAAGGTGGTGTGGAATACTAAAACAGGAACATGTCTGCGTTGGTTTTTCCCATGAACTTAACAGATGTTTGAAGCCACTTAGAGAGGTCAAGGTTGAGAGCTTCAGGTCTTTTTGCAAGATATTCCAGGAAACAGGAGCGGAGAGGAAGGAGCATGGCCAATTATATAAATAAAATCTTTAAAAGTGCTATGTGTTGTCATCATTGTATGTTTTTATACAATGATGAAATTTATGCGTTACCCATCACACGTGAGATACACCCAGGTAGAGCAGCAGGCAGCTAGGTGAGCACCCGGGGGAGCACTTAGGGACACTACGACATGTGGGCATGGCGGGGAGTTGACCTGTGACCTTCTGGTCCCAAGTCGGCTGCCCTACCACTATACCACAGTATAAGGATTCAAATGACATTGCAGGGGGAGTTATTTACATTAGCATGATAAATTAAACCTCAAAGTAAAGCAATAGTCTGAGCAGTAACAATCCACTCTGGTGTCATGATCATTTAGAGCGCCTCACAAATGGTGGAAATTCAGTCTTTAGAATGAGAATCTCCAAAAATTGCATCATGAAATGTCTTACATCATCTCTCCTTTCAGTAGCATCTGCTGGCTGTTTCTTCTGACTATTGCCAGGGAGTGAATCAACAACGACTCTATTGCTGAACTATTCTGGTCATTTATTCCTCCTTTGTCTCTCACTAAAATATTAATCTGTCACTTTGACACCGATCATAACTGAGACCAAGCTGAGTAACTCACCCTTGTCTTTTCCAGCTGTCCTACGATGATTCATCAGATACCTCATTCCTCGGCAATCCCTTGAGAACTATTTAAAAAGCATAATGCAAAATTATGCGGGACTAATGTCCTCTTTTGAGAAAATACGGTGCAATATTTATAAACTTTCTACGCACACCACCAGAAAGTGCAAAAGTAGACACTTCCATGTGGACGGTAATGCAGCTTTAATGGACTCGCATGGGAGGGCATATATTCATATTAATGTGTAAAAAAAAAAAAAAACTGGGTTATTTCAGCAGACATTTTACATCTCACTTTAAAACTCCTCCAAGAATGATTATTGTTCTTGCTCTAACCCTCGTGCACTTTGGAAGTGATCAAATTTTAAAACGGGGGAAGTATTACCAGAGTGTTTAAGTGTTGTATTGTAATAAATATTGTATTTTTTCAGCTGCTTCTTGGTTTCTTCGAATTATGTTATGCTTCTGGAGCACTAAAACTGAATAATTATCACCACTTTCGTTTTTACTGTAAGGCCTGCCTCACTTCTCATTTCTACTGTATGTATTGGGTCAAACATGGGTTTTAAAAACTGACTTTATTTGGCAAACTTAAATGTTTAAGTTTATATGTTTAATACATCACTTTTTTTATATGAGGTTCTTCTGAAAAAAGAAGACCTTCACTGAGGTGGTTTTGATAATGAATTGGGGACATTGTATAAAGACCAGACTGTGGATTTAACCAGTTAAGACAATGAACTGAGATTTTCAGTGACCAGATTTGTCTTATCCAGTCATGGCTAGATGCAAGTTCATATTTTTTAACTTTTATGTTCTACATAGGTGGCATGGGGGTGCAGTTGATAGAGCTGTTGCCTCTCAGCGAGGTCACGGGATTAAATCCCAGCCCGGGACCTTTCTGGGTGGAGTTTGCATGTTCGCTCCGTGCATGCGTGGGTTTTCTCCGGGTACTCTGGTTTCCTCCCACAGACCAAAAACATGCATGTTAGGCTGATTGGTAACTCTAAATTATCCCTAGGTGTGAATGAGAGAGTGAATGGTTGTTTGTCTTGTTTGTCTCTATGTGGCCTTGTGATGGACTGGAGACCTGTCCAGGGCATCTCCCATCTCAAACACAGTGACATCATCTGGATATGGTGACCAGTGACCCAAAAAGAAAGAAGTGGGTAAAGGTAATGGATGGATGGATGGATGGATGGATGGATGGATGGATGGATGGATGGATGATGGATGTCCTATATATCGAGACGGTCTTGTAGCTTGTAAAACCATCTTGGTTCACCCACTTGGCTCACTTTCCATCTGTCTTTCTGTTGTCCATTTGTCCACTTTATAACAATTTCTTTTGAGTCAGTGTCTGGTTGCATGGCCTAATTTGGTTCCAAGCAGCCTCCCATGTATGGTTTGATTAGTTTGATATACAGAGGAGTTCATGACTGACTCTACAACTCCAATATGCCCAGGTCCAGACCAGTGGTTGTCAAAAAAAAAATAATAATTACCAACTCTTCACCTCTGTGCTTTACTGCTGCTATGAGGGTTAAGTTTAGAGTTAGTTTGCTCTTATCTGCCTAATAAACATTGTTCAAAAAGTCTTGTGATTGAAGAAGAATCTACTTTTTTTTCCTGTTACAAATGAGCCATCCTAGTTAGTCTTTTTTTTCTGATTTTACTGTCATGAACTTTAACACGGAGCAAAGCTGACTGAGGCAGGGCAAGTCTGACATTTTAGCATTTTTCAATATTATACTACTTGACCACAATGTGGACTTGATGGGATTTCCTCTTTAGGAGTAATTAATAACTATTTAGGATTTTTCTATTATACAATAACAGACTACAAGTTATAACAAGTTGGTGTTTTCCAGATTGAAGGGCAGAAACAGTTGATTTTTTATGGTCATTGATATCATATGGTCAGTATTTATTCTTTGCCATTTTGTTAACACACACCTGAATTCAGAGCAGCAAACTGTAAAAACTCACTGGTGTTTAGTTAATCACTGGCACATCATGAGCACATGGCTGCTACTTAATTATGTTAATTCTTATTAATAGATGTTCAGAGTTTATACTGATCGGGTTTTCTTATTTTATTTAAATCAGCAAGACTAGACTAGTTAGTTGCACAACATTTTATGAATGCTTTCTTCCATTCAGGAATGTCCTTGTCTTCGTGGTTTCATATGCCAAAATTAAAAATAAATTCAAAGAATCTGTCTGATGATATTGTGAAATAATTTCATGCACCTTACCTTCTGTGCGGGTTTGTGTGTGTGTTTCATTTACGTAGGAGCGGAAGCTGTGTGCCTTTCCGTTTATTGAGATCTACAGACCTGACGTCATCAACTATATGGTTCCACTGTCTCGCCAAGTAGACTTCTTCGTGCCAGAAATGAAAGATGAAGTCAAATCAGAAGTGAAAGATGAGGACTCTGATGAGGACAGAGGAACGGACATTACAGGTAAAGTTCCAAAACTTTTTCAAATATAAAAAAAATAATAATAACTTACCCAGGAGACTTATTTTGTGTAGATGGAAGGATCCGCATCCCCCCGGCATATGAACAATGGATAAGAGCAGTCATGTATCGCATTAATCTGGAAAAGATTAGATATACAGCTGAAGCCCAGCGATAAGTGAAAAACTGTGAACTAGGAAAAGTAACACAAGTAGTAAGTAGTAGTTCATTTTAGGATTTATATATATATATATATATATATATATATATATATATATATATAAAGGAATTTTAAACCCTTCCCACACTCTTGCAATATTCTAAACAATGTTTCTAAACTCTAAAGGCTCTAAAAGAGCACAGCATGTCATGATTTCAGCTCTCTGCCAGCGCTTTCGGCCACGCCCACTTCTCCGCTGCAGAGCAGAGATCTGACACGAGGAAGCTTCTCGCTGCACACAGGTTCAGCAGGTGCTAAAGAATTTGAAATAATTTATTTAAAATAAAATTCCATGCCAATCGTGCAGCTCATCCATCAATCAGCCAATTGTGCATTATGTCCAATCTTATTTTGAAAAACCGCGAAGTAGCGAGTCCGCAAAAAACGAGCCGTGAAGTAGCGAGGGACTACTCTGTACTTTGAAAGGTTCTGTTAAGAGGTTTTGGGACACTTGGCAGCCATTTGCATCTTATGTTCAAAATGTGTCAATGCCTGTTTAACTTGTTCATGTCTGTGCGGCTGATCTGGTGTGGGAGGGGATTTAGCTATTTTGTTGTGTTTTGTGTGTTTGTTCTAAAAAAGGGGAAAAAAAATCAATAAAAAGACTTTGATTAAAAAAATATAAAAGAAAAATAACTGTTGGCCTTCAGCAAAACGCATTCTTGAACAAACAAAATCTGAAAACAATCTGATTAGGGAGGCTTTAAAAACAAAAGTAATTTAACATGGACCGAAAAAGTTTTGTTTTTGCTGACATCCAGTGGTTAATGTTATTGATAATGAACATCAGCACCTTTTGGCAACACCCTAAAAATACCTGTCAAAAAATGTTATCTGACTTTTGTCCTATTTTCCATCTGTAATACTATCTAACTGCATTGTGATCAAGCATATAAACTCAAACATTTAGCTTCTGTAGCTTCAGTTTGAAGCAAGCTAAGATCTATGTGATGTTTTTATTTTGTCTGACACTGCATTGACTCTTCTGCCCCCGATCACTGAGGACAAACGATATACGAGTCTGTGTAATTGATCTGTCATTACAAGTGTGTGTCTTGAAGTGTAACATCGTCTCTACCTCCATTACTCTGAGCCTGAAGGCTGGTGTCACGGCAGTATTGACTCTGTCAGATCACAGGAGAAAGAAAATGATGTTGGGATGTTTGAGAATTGTAGTTGGAGGTGGACAGAAACCTAATGTGGCATCCTTTGTAAACACAATCTTTTGTTAAGAAAGTTTGAGGAAAAAGTATTTTTATGGTGTGTAAATGTTCACACGTTGTGGCACGTTTTAGAAAAGTACCTGAAAGAGGTAAGAGGTCATTCTTAAGACAAACAGCAGGATTTTACACCGAAGAGCTATTGACCTGTTTTGTCTGAACTGAGAGCGAAGGCTCGTCACAACTTTAAATTAGTTTAGTCAGCGTCACTGTTCTGAGACAGAGCTTTGATTAAATCTTTCTTTTCTAACCACTGAGAAAGGAAGTCTGAGAAAAACACAAGTGTTGTATAAACAAACTATAATGCAGGTTACGGTGAGTTTGCATATCGCATGTTTTATCATCACAAGCTGGAAATGATAGTGCAGTGATGTCTTTAGTCCTTCAAATACACACATATATTTTTTTTAATTTTCTTTTAAATGCAGGTTTTTGCACTTTGTGCACCACAAGTTAAGTCTCATTTAGTCCTAACATAACTAAAGGACTGTTGATACCTCAGTGTCCTATTCTCAGTACTCTGCAACTCACTCCACTTCAAAGTAATTGGCAGGGCAAAATGGAACAATAGAACTGAGTAAAGTATGTGTATTTGACTTGTCCAACAATTTTCAGTCAGGTCATCTGGACAGTTTTTTGTTGTTGTTTTTTTTTGTGCTGAAAGGTTTCAGCTTCCATCCAGAAGGCTTCATCAGTCAAGGAAATGCACAACACAAAACTGATTCTTCCCCCAACAGCTTACTCCAAAGTGGAACAAACCAGTTGGTGCTAAGATGGTCTCTTTGGCACACACCCTCCTCCAGTGCCGGCCCTCTTCCTCATCGACAGTCATGTCAAAATTGTTCAAAACTAACAAAGTCCATGCTCAATAATCCAGGTATACAATCCAACAACTTTCAGTCAGGTCATCAAAAAAGAAACTGTCCAGATGATCTGACTGAAAATTGTTGGATTGTATACCTGGATTATTGAGCATGGACTTTGATGGTTTTGAACCTGTTTGACATGACTGTCGACGAGGAAGAGGGCCGGCACTGGAGGAGGGGGCGTGCCAAAGACACCATCTTAGCGCCAACATAACTGGTTTGTTCCACTTTGGAGTAAGCTGTTTTGGGGAGAATCAGTTTTGTGTTGTGTGTTTCTTTGACTGATGAAGCCTTCTGGATGGAAGGTGAAACATTTCATCACAAAAAAGAAACAGTCCAGACGACCTGACTGAAAATTGTTGGATTGTATGCCTGGATTATTGAGCATGGACTTTGTTGTATTTGACTTGGTTGCTCAATGATAACCATCTGTAGCCAATGTTTTTATTTTTTTTTTACAATTATATACTTTTTTATTTTATTACTACTAGAATAATACTACACAGTTATAAAGGTACCAACAGATCGTGGATTTATACTGAGGGGAAAGAGATGTTGTTAGGCCAGTTCAAGTCGAGGCTTTTTTCTGCTCGTAGCCCAGGGCTCAAAGCTTCAAGCTCAAATCATCTTCACATTTCAGTTGCTGACCCTGGAGGGTTGCTTTAAAACTTGCCCATATTATCCAGCATCATCGTAAATTTCACCCAACGGCTCTGAAACAGTTTCTCTCTCCTTCAAATTAAACACAAAGTACAGCAGCAGTGAATACATTCAAAACATGCAACACTACCTATGTTCAAGTGGTACAGTCCAGTTAGATCACTGGGAAAGTACCAGAAATTACATAAAAAGTATCCGTTTGATTTCACATTGTTTTAATTAGATGGATGCAAATATTGAATATGTGCTCCTCAATAATGTGATCAACTTAAAACAGTATACCGGTACATAATCAAACAGTACATTAAAAAGACAGACAGAAAGAAAGCTGGACAGTTAACATTTAAAAAAAAGTTAGATTAAAGTATTCAAGGAATGCAAGTCCCTTTACTTGCTTTTAGTTTCAGTTGACTCATTTCATGTTTTTTAATCACATTGTAAGCAAAATAAACAACAAATAAGTTGAGTTTTTAAGCTGCAGAATCTTGTTGAGCCACTGGATTCCCAATCTCAATTCACAGAGAAATCCTGACATTTATCTCGAGACCCTCTCAAATCATAGTTAACCTTGTCTGGTCTAAGGAGATTTGTCGAGCTGAACTGAGGACGATTCACTTAAGCCCTCACAGGGACAGAGAAAATGATATTGGCCATGGCAGCTTGTCTCTTGCTGGTGTTTTTGGCCCGATGGTGTAACAACAACTCTGGTCAGGGTAAAGACATTATTAGGACTTGAATCTGCTCAGCGCTGTGCCAGTTGATCTAAAGATGTATCAATCAGAGCTGAAATGGGGGGGAAAAGTTAATTCTATATAAAAACACAAACATGAGAAGACAAAATAAGTAAAAAATGATGAGTGGCATTTCCAGAGAAGCCCAAGCTCATTCGGAGGCTGCACAAACTGTTACAGACACAATCGGTTCATCCAATCTGAGGTTGACAAACAAGAAAAAATGACTTCCGGTTTTTGAAAGTACTGAGTTTTGTGCAATTTTCAAAAAGCAATCATACAAATTATAATATGCATCAAGCTGAAGCAGTTTGTTATTAAGTTTAATGATATTTAAAAATAATTCTGTGTACAGAATCACATTGCAGAGAATGAAATAAAAAAGGCGCCTATAGATATACTGTGTGATTGGTTGCTGGGGAAAACTGTTTTAATGGGCGACTTCTTAAGGATGACCAAAAACACAGAATGCGTTAATGTGTACCACTTTGTGTTCAGCGTTCCTGTGGTACAGCAGTAACCTGTTTCAGAACTACTCTTCATTTACAGGATAATGAGTTTAGGGTTCAAGAGGGTTTTGTCAGAAATACGGACACATCTGAGCAAAACCTAAATGTGTATTTGTGTTCCCTGTCTCAGACACAGCTGAGCTTTTTGAACAAGAGGCAGATTAATCAGGGGAGTTGAGCTTTGGCTGACAACCCAGCTGCAGAAATCCCATTTTTACCACCTGGGGAGGCTGCTTTCTGTTATCCAGTACTCACTTTATAGACAGATCTGCTCCGAAATTCTCTGTCTTAATAATTGTCCTGCTTTGACCAGAGAGAGCAGATGAGAACAATAGAAAAGGCATTAATGACAATCAGGCGAGTGAAATAAACTTTAACTCAATGTTTCTAAACTGTAGTAAATTTAGGCAACAATTATGAGGTTTTGTCATTGCATGGTAGATGCAATAAGAACTTTTCAGTTCAGCTCCAGTTCACAACAAAAGTCATCTCGAGGCACAAAATGTAGTACGGTAATTCATATTATAAATCCAATAAAGTTTACATCAGGTCCAGTTATAAACAGTTTATACAAGCTAATAATAGGCCTGTCATGATAACAAATTTTGCTGGGCAATTAATTGTCAAAGAAATTATTGCGATAAACGATAATATTGTTTGAAATTTGACAATAGTTAGTAATTATTGTCAAATTTAAGAAGAAATGTTTAATTTGTTTTGCGTGTTGTACCTTTTTTGACCACCAGATGGCAGTATAAGACTGAAACTAAAGGATGGATAGTGAGGGAGCGAGCAGC